AAATGGCCTGATAAAGAGTATCTTTATTAAGTGAACACCCTCTGCCAGCCAGTGGAAAATAGTTTTCATGTGGGGTCTTCTGAAGTGTATACCTGGAGAAGGCATCAGTCTGCTTAAACAGAACTTTATTATGCCAATTTTTATTTTACCATCAACCCTTCAGAATACAACAGGAATCTGTTACTCAATGAGCCATGATGCTGAGTGCAGAGTTAAATCTATCTCAATTAAAGTTAGCATTCTCTGTTACGAGAACATCACAAAAATAAACTTTCTCAGTTGATAGAAAGAATTTAGATTTACATTCAGCGTGATGCTTGGGTTCCTGCTCAACAGGGGCATTGTGTGGAGCTTTTTTGACCTTTCCAGGCCCCTCTTTACCCATCAGTAAAATCAGTATTTCTTACTGGTGTCAGTATTTTAAGATAAGATTTTTCTTGGCAAAATATTTTGAGATACTTGAGTGGGTCCCAGCACTCCCTGTGAGTGTCCTCCCTCCCAGCCCTGGGGAGCTGCTGGGCCACAGGATGTGCCAGGGGCTCTGTCCAGGTCTCCCAGCAAACAGATGTGAAGCTGCAGAGTTTTGTGCATGGGAAGGGTAGAAGTTTCTGAAAGAGGTGGCTTTTTTTTTTCCCCTGCTCCTAATTAGAAAACACAATTTATCTTAAGAGCTCTTTACAAGCCAGAAGGCTTTTAAATATATTCTGCTGGGTTCTCCAGAATATCCTGCGCATCCACCTCATGGCTGCTGTCCCTCTGCACCCTGAAGTGCCTTCCCCTTCCTCTGGGAGGATGCTTGTCTCATCTGCATCAGTATTGCAGGGGAGCCTGCTTCAGCTTCCTCCCCTGCTAGGCAGATGTCCATTATAATGAAATGTAAAAAAAAGGGGGGGAGGGGGAATAATAAAGGCAGAGGAGTGTAATGTTAGGGGTTGATTTGACAGGACCTCCTGCTGCTGCAGCTGCCAGTGCCAGCCATGGAATAGATTAATCTGTATTCCAACACGCCGCAGCTGAAGTCAAGATCGATCTAATTAGGGTGTTTTAAACACTGCTTGCATTCTGAAGTCTTCCTGCCTGTCTGGAGAGGGAAAGGCTCCCGAGGGCCCGAGGTGATGCTGTTCTAAGCAGGACTCTGGTGCAGCTGGGTGAGCACATGTGATGGGACCTGCCAGAGCCCGGGATGTGGCTGGAGCGGTGCGGCATCCACGGCGTGGAGAGTAGCAGTACAGGTCAATCAGCCGAAGGGGCAGGAAACAGGGTGATCTGCTAATAACAAGGAAGCCTCTGTCTTCCCATATCCACGAATTTGGGAGATTTTTGGGATGTGTATATGAAAAAAGTTGCTCTTGATGCATCCTAGCTGCCAGCAGCTGGCTGCTGTTCCTTTAAAGGAATCTGGTGGTGCTGAGCGGCTGGTTTTGGTGTTTGCTTGTCAAAGGAAACATGTTTAGTTGTTCTTAAAAATGGGGGCGAGGCAGGAACTTCTGCCTCTGGCCTTGTCTGTTGCCCTCTCTGAAAATGATGCTATTTGTGCAGTGATGTGGACTTTGGCTGAGCGTTGGCAGGATTATTGAGAAGTTCCCAGAATATTCAGAGGCAGCAGCCAGCCCGAGGCATCGCCCCAGGGCGATGAGCAGCTTGTGGCCTCTGTCTGCCAGCGGAGATCAGAGCTGGGCAGCTGCAGGTTCCCCTTCTGAGGACTCGGAACAGCTCCAGCTACTGATCATTTTCCAAAGACAACCCGACCCTGAGCAAATATTGTGATTCTGGACTTGTAAGATTTTGCATGTGTGAGATACATACTGGTGCAGTCTGTGGGAAGATGGGGAGACCCCCGTCTGCAGAACCCTTCGTGCCCAGGCTGACACCTCTCACTTCTGATTGCTGCTGTAAATGCTTTAATCCATCAAATAATGGATCAGCCACTTACCCCACAGCGCTTCTCTTGCCCCCAGGGTTTGCTCTGATTGTGGCTGGTGTCCTTGCACCTGGATGTTGGTGTTTATTGGGCCAGGAGTTGCCTTATGGTATAATTGGGATTTTTTTTTTTTTTTCAGGGGAGCATGAAACACACTAGTGTGTTTTTTTTTCAGGAAGCTGATCAAGAAGAAGGTTTAGATAGTCCTGAAATATTTCTGTGCGATATTTTTTGAACATTTTGACCAGGCAACTAGATATTTCCTGGATTTTCTGGAGTGGTATGTTGAAAGAGTAACCTCATTCTTAAAAAACCTGTGTCAGCTTCTTTAGACTTCTCAGTAGTTTTAAAGATTTTATTGATAAAATGGATAAATATCTGCATATGAGCACCAAAGCAAGAATGATGGCTGAAATGTATTTCTTAGTAAAGGAGTATTGGGGAAGAAAGCAATGAAGCAATCATTGGTAAGAATATTACTACTGAAATACTGTATCAACACTCCTAAATGCTCCCAAAAAAAGAAGGTTTGGGAGAAAATAGTGTGAAATACAGAATGTTGGCTTCTTTCTAAAACAACAGAGCATCTGTTGCGATGTAGTAAAGATAAAGCCTTCATTTTTGTTGGGTTTCTTCACCTAAAGAAAGTAGGATCTTGTGAGGACTTTGGAGGCTTTTACAGTATTTTTTTAATGCAGACACTTAATTTGGTGTGGCTTTGTGTGGAATAACTGTTTCTCTGCAGCGAGAGCGTGCACGGATGTACCCGGAGCCATCCTTCACCCCCACGTTATCCTGTTGAAATGACAGAGCAGCCGCACGGCGCTGGCCACCCGATAAACCTGTTATCTCCCCTGCTCCTCCTGCCAGCAGCTCTCCCAGTCTCTTTGGTACATGAAAAATTGACACCACCTCAGGCAGAAATCTGTTTCTAAGGAAGCTACATTTATAAGCAGCTAATGAAACGGGGCGCGGGCGCGTGTGCAGCCTCTCCTCTTTGCTGCCCTGTGCAGTCCGCAGATAACCTGCGCCGCAGAGAGGGCAGACGCCGCCCGGACGCGCCGCCTGCCCGAGTTCCCCTCTCCACGGAGGTGTGAGCTGGCACCTAGTGCAGCAGCTCCCCACAAACACGCTGGTGCCGCTTGTTCTTTGTACGCTGGTGCAATCGATCAAGGCTTCTCGTGGCTCCAGGCTAGGCAGCGCCGTGGAAGCACATGTTAAAATGGTTTGAGGGCAGTAAGATGATGATCCCGTTCCTCTGCATGTTGCATTCTCCTCCAAAAATAACAAATCTTGACACCCCTTCTCCTCTCCCCGCCAGCGTAGGTGAGGGAATGTTTATGGCCATTATTGTTCATCAGTCTTCATCAGCAAGATTAAAATGAGGTCATCTTGGAGAAGTTACACTTTTCAATATGTGGAGGTATCTAAAACGTAAGGTCTGTGCTCAGTGCCGACCTGTGGGCAGGAAGCAATACCAGATGATTGGGCAAGGGAGGGAAACTTGTACCTCTCTCATTTGCTTTGTGCCTTTGTGCTCAGTTTTATTTCCCCATATTAAAGCCATGTACTTTTGATATTGCCAACATCATTCCTGGTGCTGGCATACACTGTGCAAACGACCTGCATCTCCCGTGATGCTGGGGGTGCAGAAGTGTGGTGTGTGGCCTCTCTGCTTCCCTGTCACGGGAAAAGGAAGGTGCATCCTTTCCCTGGGCTCCTTCCCTTGCCTCAGGCTGGCTCCCTTCCCCCTGGAGACTGTTCATGGGCAGAATGAAAGAGAGCCAGAGCATGAGGGTTATAACTTGAGAGCTTGACTCAGAATGTTTCAAACCCGGTTTGATTTTGTATATATATAGTAGAAAATTGCACGTAAAACTGATGAATCCTTCTGAAGAAACAAGGACACAGAGAAGCTCTTGCTTTTGTACCTCACTGAAGTCTGGTACAGCCAAACATTAGTGGTTAAAGACTCCCTGTGTGGAAAGGCGTGCTTTTGGAGAAGATGGTGTTTCTGTCTGTCACTCAGAGCTCCAGGCCCCGTTCTGAGGTGCTGTGGGTTTGGGCAGCACTTGAAGCCGGTGCTTTGTGTGCCACGTTGGTGAGGGACGGCGTGCGGGGAAGTGTGCTCAGGAGGAGTGTCTGGAGGGGCTGCAAGGCACAGAGGCAGCAATGCCACACAGCCCTTGGGTCCCTCCTTTGGTGGTTCCTCTCCGAGGGGCATCCGTGTTCCTGCAGAAGTCCTCAGAGCTCGGTCCTGCTCCTCAGGAGGAGACCAGCGCTGCTGTGGGTTCGAGGCACTTGGTTCAGTCACCGTTCAGAGTGAAGCTGTGGTTGGACATGAACACCGATGTTGTCTCCCCTGTGTTTGCAGCATTGACTTTTTCACTTGGCTCCAAGGTTTGTGCTGAAAATACAACCCCCAAGTGCAGTTGAGAAGACTGTAGAACACCTTTATTTGGTCGTTTCTGGTTTGTTGTGGCACATTCATATTTATTCCACAGGATTTTCTGTAAATAAAAGTGATTTGTTTGAGGATTTTTCCCTCTAGCTAATACCAGTTAAGTCTCTGCAGGAGCTACATGCTGGCACAGTTATTCCTTTCTCAAGCTTTCCTGTTTCAATAACTGTCCCCTCTTTGGTAACCCAAGGGTCATTTGAGTGACAGAGCTGGCTTTGGCCAGGATTCCTTCTATCCTTGCGGGAGGCGGCAGCGTGCAGTGCCTTTGGCTGTGGTGGAGGGTGTCAGATGCCGCCGTGCCAGCCCAGGGAGGTAAACTGGAGCAGAATTAGTGCTTTATGGAAAGTGCTTTTTCCAGGTCACCGAGGAGAAGCAAGATCAGGGCAGCAGAGCCCTCACTGGCTGGGCTGGGCTGGGTTGAGGAGCTGTCTGTACTCCCTGCAAACACGGCGTGCTGCTCTTGCTGCTGCTCTGCCTCCTCATGATGGGAGGGAACTAGGGTTCCGCTTATCAACAGCTACACGTCGGAGTGCTAGTGGTAAATTTAATGGCATGTTACAGAGAAAATAAGCTCCTGTTCCTGATCTCAGCATGCAATTTTGATTTTTGTATCTCCAGAACATGTCTGTTCCATCCTGGCCTCCCTTCTTCGAAACCTGAGAGGGCAGCAGAGGACACGGTTACTGAATAAATTCACAGAGAATGACAGTGAGAAGGTGAGTGCTGAATAGGTGTCTGCAGTCCCTGGGCTCCCTGTGTGCCTGGCTGCCCCCCTAAGATACTGAAACGCTGTTGCTGTACCTGCCTAGAGAGACTGGAACTCCCATGGGATGTCATTCTCTCAGTCATGGTGTTATCTACAAGCTGGAGAACTGGAAATGCCTTCAGTGCTCAGCCTCCCACATCACCTGTGCTCTTGTTTTCTGGTGCTCTTGCACATGGTAGTAGCGATTCTCAGTCCTAGGTTGTGTGTCCCTGCTGAAGGCTGATCACGTAACATGGTGTGTGGTGTTGGGTTGTGCTGGCTCCGTGAGACCAGGGCAGTGTGGAAAGGTGACAGTTTTTCTAGTGAAGCCCTTTTGCAGAGAGTTCAGGAATTGCTATAGTACATGTTTAACATTCTCCATTCCTCTCCTAGAATGTGTCACTTTAATGATGTTTACTCTGGGAAATTCTTTCCAAAATATTTACATGGTGGTGGATAGATCAAACAGCTGAGACACAGAAACAGCCGCTTTTGCAAACCAATAATTCCCAAGGAGTTTGTAAATTCTGCCACTGGGGAAATACTGGTTTCTTAGTATTCCTCATTAGTGTGTCTTAAAGGTGTTTTTCATAACCTGTTCTACCAACTGCAGAAAATTTCCCATTACTAGACAGGCTCTCAGTTGCCTAACAAGTTCAAAGGAGCAGCAGAGCTGTAACGTGTCTGACACGTTTAACGTAAGCCTGGCTGCATACAGCATAAACTGAAAGATCTGCTGAAGAAACCAGGAGAACTGGGGAACCACAGCACAGGAGAGCGAGCGAGGCAGGGGCACGTGCCTGTTGCTGCCTTTTAGCTGGAGCTGAGGAGACCACGTTGGGATGTGGGATTACGTTCAAACACCCGCAGACTCGGTGTGCTCATCCAGCCAACACTTGTACCCTGCTCTGTAGTGTATTCCTTCCTGCGAGTGACAGAATTGCCTGTTACTTTGTGGAGACTGCAGCTGGGAGGAAAACAACACAGCATGAAGGATTAAAGATGATTGCATTGTTCTTTTTTTCTGGCTTAGGTCTCTCTCTTCTGCCCTTGCAGGTTGATAGGCTGATGGAACTGTATTTTAAGTACCTGGATGCAATGCAGGCAGCTGATAAGAAGATTGATGGAGAGAAACACGTATGTATTGCATCAGTTTTGCCAGCTCATGTCTACAATACCTCTTCTGCTTCAGCCAGGTCACTCTTCTGAGCTGTGCCCTCATACCTGTGCTGACACCTCTTAGTTCTTGTTGCCCCACTCTCCAGCTTCCAGCTGACCTCAAATAGGCTGAGATTTCTCTACAGCAAGTGCTTCTGGCCTTTTCTTAGGGTGAATTTTACTAGGAGGACCTAAGTCTGTGCTTCAGTTTGCCTTCACTTTTACTTGGCTGCAATCTGGCTTGGTTTGGCAGATGGAGAGTAAGTGAAATGCAGAAAGACAATTACATGATAATGTGTGAGGCCTCCTACCCTGGTCTTTAGAGTTCTGATCAGCTGTGAGGAAGCGTCTATTTTGATTAGTTAGGTGCAGCTGCAGCCAAAGGCTGGTGTGCTCTCTGCACACCAGCAGTGAATCGTTTTGAATGACATGAGCCTTGGTACCACACAGTACTTTCTTGGAACTGAAGCTGGAACAGACTTTTTGAAAGAGAACGAGCTGTTGGAGTCAGGAAGCAGCTTGCAGAGCTGTTAGCGAGCTTGGCCGGCTTCCCGCAAGATTATCTGTATCAGCACTGAAGAGGGTGTGCGATTGATTAGCGCTGACGGAGTAATCACTGCAGCCGCCGTCCCCGCACGCGGGCGAGCGCCGTGTGCCACGGGCTGCAGCCCCCTGCCAGGCTCCGACAAACCGCTGTCTGCCCGCTGCCAAGGCCGCTTCTCCGGGCGCTGGGAAACATTCCGAGGGCACCGGCGCTCAGCGGTGCTGCCGCTGCTCAGGACGGCGCGGGGGCGAGTGATGGATGGAGGCGCTTTTGCTGCCAGCGTTCAGGCTCCATATGGGCAGCTGCAGCTTCACAAATGAACGGTGGCCTGAAGAAAAACAGCCTTTACCCTTTCCTGCTATCCTCCACACTCCATTCATCGTCCTTGGAACAGAGCAAGAGATTGTTTATTCTTTACGTTTCAGTGTTGGTGTGTGGGTTTAGGACTCAAAAGCCAGGATGGATTTTGCGGTGTACGGGCAGCTGCTCTGCAGAGCCCTTAAATGCAGCACACAGAGCTCGTGTACGTGCCCCTTATCCAAAACCATCCTGAAACAGTCCTGTAGCGAGCAGCCAGCACAAAGCAGGGGTGAGGGGAATTTGTGAAGAAGCTTGTGCAGAAGCTCTTTAATTAATAATATTAACCTGTTCATGTTTACTGATGCACAAAAGAACCTCAGGTTTTCCTCCTGGATCCGGAAGGCCACCGTGCTTTTGCCCCTCTCTAAGCTGGAATGGCTGGAAAAAAGGGATCTCCTTCTTCACTTCTATTAGAGCTGATAATGGGATTTGGCAGAAACGTCTCGTATGTGCAATATATTGGGCACAACGTGTACGAAATACGATGTTGAGGTTCACTCCTGGCCTGGAACACTCTTGGAATTACCATTTGCTTTGTTTTGTAGTGTCCTCAGATGGTCAGTGGGAAACAGTTTGCTGAGATCTCAAGTGGTTTCCCCAAGCAGAAGCAGGCAAAAGCCATCGTTCTGTCCATCAAACCGCAGCATTGTCTGGCTGTGACAGGGTTCATGGAGCACTTTAATGTTTCTCGTTGTGGCACATGAATCACTGAAGTGGATGGTGTGAACGCTTGGTCCTTTAGAAACTGTGTCACTGTGGGGGCTTTTGACCTTCCTCTTGCAGTAGAGGACGTAGTACCCCACAAATCTGGGCTACAGATCCTCACCTTTCCCTCTGCCCCCCAAAAAAGATGCCTGATGAGATTTTGCAGGTTCAGCCTATATTGATGAGAGCGAGGTCTGAGTATCCTGGTTTAAGTCTTGCATTACAGAAAGTGAAAACCTGATGATACAAGGATTGACTGAGTGGATCATACCTGAAGCTTTATCTTGAGTAGTGCAGCTGGCATAAGTAGTTCTGCTCTTGCAGTTCTCTTCCTTCTTTCCTTAGCTTGGCTTGCTGTAGCCATCTGGTTATAGCCCAGCTCTTCAGCCTGTGGCAGTGAAGACGTGGAAATAGTCGAGGATAGAAGGGAGGGGAGGAATTTCTGAAACCAGCTGTTTTGGAGGAAGAACAGTTGTAACGAAGCTGTACCCTGAAGCCGGACAACGAAACAGGATGAGGTCCAGAGGGAGAGCTTCCCTTCTTCTCTGTGGAATCTGTTCAGAAGTGACCAGACCTGATAACTTGGTGATTACCCTAATTGCCATGTGAAACCCAGGAGCAAAGTCCATGTGAACGTCTGTCTCCAACACCTGATGCCTGTCTTAGCAGTTTCCTCAGTTTTTAGTTAATGAAACCTAGAAAGTATCTTGTCCTCCTCTCAAATTCTTGAATTCTTTCTGTAGGAAATGGTGCAAAATCCTATGGCTTTTAACTCCCTCTAAAATGAGGCATAATTACAGGCAGCAGCAATAGCCTTAGTGATCTCTAAAAATGGTAGGAAAAGTCAGGAGGTGGTTTAATATTTTTATAGTTCCGCAGAAAAATTATGCTCAGCAGGTTTATTCGATAAAATATTCTCACCAGACACTTTGCGCTATAATGACTTACAAATTACATGCTAATTGTGCTACAGTTAAGTCATTTCATCCTTGAAAGGGAGAGGTGGAACTCCTGGCATGAGAGCAGTGTCCACGGATTCGGATGACTGAAAGAAGAACTTGCACTAGCCCGTCATTTCGGTGTGGTTTAGAAAGAGGAGCTGTGCCGAGGGCAGGACGCGGGTCCTGCCGGGCGCTGCGTGAGTGAAGAGAACACACCATGTTCGTGGGCTGAATTTGTGCTGTCAGCTTTTCCAGCAAGCGGAGGCACACGCTGAACCTCCTTGCTCGCTGACCCTCCTTGCTGAGGCTGGTGCCCCTTCAGCTGCCATGGCTGCCCTGACACGGCTCCCGTTTCTCGCTGCTGAAGTTGGGCTCGTGCTTTTGCAGGAGCTGCTGCTCCGTTTCTCCTGCCTGGGAAGCGGTGGTACCCTTCGCAGCAATCGCAGTGAGCTTTGCAGCTCTTGCAGATTGGTGGCTCAATTTACAGAAATTCAAGTGTGTTTCTGTTTGTAAGGCAGGAATGAACAAAGCCCTTCCCACGGCAGTGCTCTGATGGTTTCTTGCATGGTTCTGAGAGCTTCTTGGTCACCTTGGTGTGACCTGGATGCCTGCCTGCTCTCCTGGCTGCAGCCTGACTTAGGCTCACTCCTAACCCTTCTGAGTTTTGATGAAAATGGTGGTCAGTCTGCTGAAGAGATCGTGTCATCTGCATCCTCTGGGTGTGAAAGAGGCTCCTGGGGCAGTTGTCACCATAGCTGTGAGCTGAAAGCAGCTGGTCCTGGGCAGTCCTGGCTGCAACGGTCTGACTTCACCTGAGGCTTCTCCTTGCCCTTCTCCTCTTGCAAGTGTCAGTACCCGTCTCCTGCACGTCCTTTTGACCAAGGGCTTAGCGATGACCTTGAGTTCAGTGATCAGCCCTTGGTCTGAAAGCACCTCCTGAGCGTGGCTTGGGGCTGTAACACAGACAGAAGGTGGTAAGGGGAGAGAATCCGTGCTTGTTGTAGGAGATGAGTGGTGATCATTGTTTTTGTTCACGGCCATTCAGAGCCTTCTCATCTCTGCTGACTTGGACTGGCCTTGCTCTCCCACTCAGTGAGGAAGTAAATTCAGGATCCTGGTGTTGTTCATTGTTCTGGATCAGCACCCGTCCTTTCTGCTCTGCCTGGCCACACTGTCTGTGCCGGGGAGGGCAAATGGCAGGAGAGGAAGGAGGAGGATGTGGAGAATCGTTTGGGCCCCACCCCAGTGACTCTGTGGAGCAGATGTGATCTTTTGTATAGCACTGGCAGATCTGTTGTATCTTTAGGTTTTGAGTCTCTACTTGACACCTCGAGGCCTGTCAGTCCTGCCTCATTAGTGTGAGAGAAGCTCATTTTAGCTTCACAGAAGCCCATCTTATTGCTGTCTTCTCCCATCAGCAAGGGGCATCTCAGTACATATTGTTGGCAGATTAGAAATGGCATCTGAGTGCTCATTTGGAGGTTAGTGACTTGACAGCTTTGAAAGAGAGACAAAGTGGAAAGGTGGCTATTTGGTACTGTACTGGGAGGCAGATTAGCATTTAAAGAGTGGCTGTGGTTTTAAAACAAAAAAAGACTCTAAAAAAGGCACCTTAAAACTGTACTTGTCTTCTAATTCGTATCTGCTTAATTTACTGGCACAAAATAATCTCGCCTCTCTGTCGAGAGGGGCTGTTACAACTGCTGCCTTCTCTGTGTAATCAAGACAGCAGTTGCCTGGATTCGGCTCCTGTGATCACCATGCTTGGATCAGAATACAGAACAGACACAGTCTTTGTTTCCTGCTCTGGGGACTCAAAATCCTGGCCTGTTGATGTTTTTCTGTTCAGGAATTTAGTGCTGGTGAGGAGAGTAGCCAGTCAGCCCTGTACGTGGGGAGGAGGGTAAGCGGTAGTTCAGGAATTGTCATCTTTCTGGAATGGGGTTTTTGGATATTTCAGTCAATCTTCTGATCTCTTGCTAGCCAGACTCAACGTTGCTTAGCTTCAGACCAGATTTGATCAAATTTAAGCAATTGGGAATGGATTTAGGGTGAGGAAAGTCACTCCTTGCACAAAACTGGGTTTTTCATTTTACTGGCAAGAGCTTGTGTGCAAGTTTTGCCCGGTCGTGCCTGTGGTTTTGAGAACCTGGAGTAAATTACAGTTGTGCAAATGCCAGAGTCTCCAAGATCTGATGCTACAGCATCTTGGAGTGCAGCCAAAGCAGTGGACTTCATGGCACTGGTAACTAAGTGTTGTTTTTTAAACTTGACTTGTTCTTTCACTGGCAAGCTAGACTTCCAGGAGGAAAGGAAAAGTGTTTTATTACCTGTGCTTTCCTCTCCCGCTTCTGGAGGGCAACGGTGAACAGCTGCACTTCTGAGTCACTTCATCAGGTTTCTGTGTGGTGACCATCCACTGTGTCCTTGGCAGTGAGAAGTGCACAGGGTTAAATGTCCTTCTTGTACCTAGAAGACTCTGCTCACAGTTAGATGCAAGGACTTGTCTTGACAAAAAAAGGAGAATCTGGTAGCCTACATCAGCTTTGGTGCTGGTGACCTTGTGTGTGTTTGCCTGGAGCGCACATGCCCCGAGGAAGCACTTGCTGAGTGTTCCAGGTACAGTGCTCTGGCTGCTGATGGCTCTAATGAGAAAATATTGCTCCGCTGGCGTGTGCCCACCTGCCAGCCGCCTGCATAATAAATCACACGAGCTGCAGCGAGCTAGCAGGGTCTGACAAGCTGCTTCCTTTATTTAAGAACAAAACCAAAAAACAAACCCCAAAATGCAGAAGGTCACATGTGACATCACTTATTTTGGCCGTTGGTCTCCATGAGGATGGATAGTGGGTTCAGTTCTCGGGGGGGAGCTGCTCTGAGCTGACTGCCGAGCTGCTTTTGCTGGTGTTTGGAAGAAGATGCTCTGTCTGAACGAGGTGAATGGCCTCTCGCCTTCTGCCTTTGGCCTCCGTTTGGGCAGCTCTTGCCAGTGGAACACGGCGTGTGCAGAGGGAGAGCGGACTGTCAGCGTTCCCCTGGGAGCCAGTGCTCTGCTGACAGACCCTGCCTGGGTTTGGCCCCGTTAATCTCTCTAACAAAGGGAGCTGGAAGAGGAAGGCTGGGCATGGCAAAGCTGTGCTGGTGCAGAATGTTCAGACCTGTTTTCTCAATCATCAGTTGATAATGAAGTTGGAAGCCTGATGGGTCTTTGAGTCATTGGAGTCATGTTCTGCACTGCTTAACAGCACCCTCAAATGGCCAGTAAAAGAGCAAGTTTTTTGTTCCATTTTGACAAAGAACTTATAAATAATAGGTACACTGGTCTGTTCCGTATGCACGGTGTCTAATCGCTCGATTTAGAAACGTAATTTGTAAGTTTAAATTAAAATTTTAGTTTGCAGATGGGCACACTTCACAACCAGCAAAGGCAAAACCTTGTTCAAAACTGAAGGAAATATTCTGTGAATTTAAATGAATTATTAAAAATACTTCTTTGGCAAGAAATACGTGGATGTTAATGTTTTGGGGAACAAAGCATTTCTTAAGAAACCGCAAATATCACCAATATTTTACCACTACTAATGGGAAGTCCTTTGAGAGACAGTCATCACACCTTTTCTTTGTGTTGTTTTACAGGACATGGTGCGTCGGGGAGAGATAATAGACGATGACATGGAAGATGAATTCTATCTCCGTCGCCTGGATGCTGGTCTCTTTGTTCTACAGCTCATTTGTTACATCATGGCTGAGATCTGCAACGCCAACGTGCCCCAGGTAAGGCTGATACCAGGTTGGCAGATCATTTGTGTTTCCATCCATAACAAACAAGACTCTAAATCCTTGCAAGTCCTGACTCGTTGAATCATCTTCTTTGGTTCCTTTTTTGGGAGGAAACCTCCTGCTTATTGCGCTTGTCTCCATACAGCTTCATCAAGTTACAGCAGTCAGGAGGGTGTTAGTGGGTACAGAAACTGATTGTTGTCACTGAATTCATACAATCTGCCATGGGCGAGGTCACAGTCTGAAAGGGAAAGGCCCTGTTTATACCACTGCTGAGAGCGGTGGAAGGGGACAGGGTTCTCTTGGAAGATCTCAGGAAGGCACAGGCTGCAGCAGGTGACTTTTCCTGATCCGTGCAGAATCCTGAGTCTCTGCTGGTGTGAATACATTGGGGCTTGTGAATCTCTTCTGTGGTTACTCGTACCTGTGCCACGTGCCTTCCTGAATGTTTCTGGGTAGGTGCTCTGGGACTGAGGACGAGCAAAGATGGGTTGGGTTTTGTGGTGCTCAGGGTTTCTGCTCGTGTCTCACAGGTGGAGTTGCACCTGGTTTTGTGTTGTACTGAAAATGGCTTTCTTCTCTTTCCTGTCCCCATCAGATTCGTCAGAGGGTCCATCAGATTCTGAACATGAGAGGCAGCTCCATTAAAATAGTTCGACATATCCTAAAGGGTGAGTTGAGCTGTTCCTGTGCGTGTGTCTCACCTCTACCAGGGACAACTTGGTCATCTGTTTGTAGGATGAGCCTTCACATGTAATTCTCATTGACTTTGTCAGCGTCTTCAGGCAGCAGTTGAGTAGTGTTCAGAGAGCTGGGCCAGGCTGAGAAGAGGCGTGTGTTACCTTGGAGTTAGGACACTTGCTGTTGTCTGCTGCCGTGGAACAGCACGTCACTTCACGCTGCCATCAGCCACAGGCTGGCGGGAACTCGCTGCTGACATTGACACTAGAGTAAATATTTAAGGGAAGTGTGTATGCATGCTAGAGGGAAGAGTAGTGGAGTCTTGTCTCTCATTAACATGGCCCTGCACTTTACCATCTGCACCATATTAGGATCCGTGGTGTATTTGTCTTGTTCTTAGTGTCAGATTAATATGGATTATAGCATTAAAGTATCCTCTGTAGCTTTAAAATGTCGCTGTTGTGATTTGCAATCCCAGTTTTAAAGTACTGCTTGTTATTTTTAATGCTTATGTTGACTAAGAGCAACGCTTATTCAAGCTGTGGCTCTCATCCGTAGCCTGCTGTCCTTCAGCAGAAGCAGACAGTTGGACTGGGGGAGAAGAGGACAGGACTCAGCTGGAGAGCTGGGATCTGCACCCACGGGAGGTGTCCCCTTCTCCAGCAGAGGGTTGTGTGGGACGTGTCTGCTCCCGGGGGCCTGTGCTGTCTGCGGTGAGGGGTGAGGAGTGTCTCTCTCCTCTGGAGAGAAGGGAAGATTGGCAGCATCTCCAGAGGTACGGGGCTGAGGGTTGTGTTGTTTCCGTGCCTCTGCTTTCTTTGGGAATGACAATGATGTTCTCCTGGCCTTTTCTTCCCCCCTCCTCAACACGGGCAGGTACAAGCAGCTTTTTTTCCTGTAGATTCTGTCACTTTTCTCCCTTCCCATATGCAGGAAAAAAGGGGATCAGAAGGCTGGCTGGTATGACGAAATTAAGAGTGATTTTCTGACAGTGTGAGATTACCTGCAGCTATAAGCAATCTCTTTGGCCCTTGTCCTTTGCCAGCAGTGCGAGTTAATACCTGCTGAGGAACAGGGGGGACTAGAGAGGATGTCTTTTCTTGTTTTAATTGTGATACTTGACAATTCCTGCCTCCAGACTGTCCATTTCCAGCGCTAGGACATAGCTCACATCCGCTTTCAGATTCCCACGCTTGCCCTGGGCCATGGGTGCCTGAGGGATTCTTCTGCACACCTCGCTGTATTTACACACCTCACGTTCATGTCTTTGCTTTGTTGATTTACATACTAAGCTGAATTGGAGGGCAGCTGCATTAAAATTTCATCTGATTCTTTCTTTCGCAGTGACTCGCACTGTGAAACTTTCTCAGGGGTCTGTCACGTCTCTCAGGCTGTGGGTTGTGCGGCAGGTTCGGTGGTCTCAGCAGTAACGTGCTCTCTGCCTGGAGAGGCCACACATGGCACGTTAATAGTGCAGGGGATGGATACAGGACTTGGGGCTCTGTCTTTGGGAGCTCTCCCCAGCTCTCATGCTTGTCAGTTTGAGAGACTTGTTCCATCATAATTGTCAGTGACCTTAAATTGTTTTGGTGGACCCTTGTGAAACGCTGGAACTGTGCCCAGAAGGTTCCTGCCAGGTAGGAGCAGCACTGAGCTTATCTGCAGTCTGTGCTGGTGGAATTTAAGTTTTCAGTAGTTACACACCTATGTCCAAATATGCTGTCACTGTAACTTCACCAGCTTTTAGCAGAAGTGACACCACAGACAAGGACCTGCCTCTCCAGAGGGGCCGGCTGGTTAAACACAGCTTGCCTGTTGCAGTGGTTTGGTTGTGGACCCTGGGAGCCACCGGTGGGGCTGGGGGGCCCACGGGGGATTTCTGAGATGCCACTGGTGTGTGAACTGTACAACTCCTCATCCTGAGTGACTGGGAGGTCGGGAGCCTTGAGCCTCAGCTGAAACGCTTCCAGGCCACTTTCCAACTTGCTCTCAGGACAGATGAGGGCTGGTTTATTTTTACTTTTCGGTCAGTGTTTTGCTCTTGTTCAGTTTTTATTTTCTATTTTTGCATACTAATTAGGTGCTTGGTTTTTAGTTTGATTTTTATGGCCTACATATTCTTCGTGTTTCTCTGGCAACCTGACAGCTGATGGATCCCTTGGGGTTGCTCAGAATTACTTATGATGCAGGCGAGGAAGCGAGACCGTTTTCTTACGGTAGGGCTTTCAAGGGGAGGAGTGGGCGGGCAGTACTTGAAGGCTCATTAAATGTATTTTTGCAGGCTGACCAGTCTTCCCATGGTTCCTTTTTCCTGAAGATCAAGCGTTACTTGCAACGGGACAGTCAGTTTATTCTTTGGAAGAGAACCACTGAGTGGTGTGTGCCTTGGCTGGGGGGATGTCTTGGGGATGGAGACTGGTCTTCATGACAGGAAGTGGTGTCTGTACCTTGGGGTGATTCCCGGTCTCCATCTCTCTCGCTGGGAACGGCGTGAGGCACAGCCCTCTCCAGATAGCAAAGCTCAGCTGTGGAGTGGGAAAGCTGTTCCTTCCTGCTGCGGAGAGCCAGCCTTGGTACCTGCTCCCTTTGGGGAGCTGCTGTCAGAGGAGCCCTGCAGGAGCCAAGGGGCAGAGGTCCCTCCCCAGGAGCCCCGAGGTGCGATGCCTGCTGGGACCTCTGTTTTCAGTGACGGTGATGGGCACATCAGGGAGCTGGGAAGGCAGAATGCCTGCGGAATGTCATAAGCCAAACCTGTTAGCATGGGTAATCAAAGAGAAAAGGTAGGTATGTGATGAGGACTGTGCTGAATTTGGCCTGTGGTCCCTCAGTATGTGCAGGCTTTATAGCTTCCAATATCCATTACAAGCTTCAGTATTTCCCTATTGATTTTTACTGTTCCGTAACCATTGTATTTTGTCTAATGAAGCAGAAACCAATCTTGGGTCCTTTCCCTTTGTGTAGCTGCAGCACTGTGTAAGCTCTGTTTAACTGTTGGCAGGGGGAGCTTACACTTGATTTTTTTGCTGTCTCACTGAAGTGGTGGAATTTTAAATAAAAAAGTAAATACGTAAAACCTTGGGGGGGGAGAAGGGTTTTTTTTAAGTCTGGTTGTGAAGGTTTTGTCTGGTCTCTTCAAATTAGCATTAGCAACTGTTGGTAACCCAGTAAACACTCTGCCTTGGGAGTCACTGTGATTTTAGTCTTGGGGAGCCGGAACACTTAGGAGGAAAGATGCTGAGCTTTTGGGTAAGATTAGAGGAATCTGCGGCTTGCTTTTGTCTGAGTGATCTCACCGGGGCTGTAGAAGGGCAGTGTCATTAGTGGCACTCAGCAGTTTCCCTGCTTGAGTTGTCTGCTCCAGTGCTTTGGCAGTCCTTGAAGCTCAAACCAGAGCTGGGCCACAGTCCCGCTGCCTGTGGTGGGACACTCCGAGCGCAGAGCTCTGCCTGCAGCCGGGGCCGACCCGTGCTGGGCCGGGCTCAGAGACCGCGGCCGGGGGTCCTGGGTGGTCCAGAGGTAGCAGGGGGCAGGGAGGCAGTTCCCTTGGGCTGCGATAAACATG